GTGCCAATGTGCTGCAGACAAAGTGGAACAGAGGAGATGGTGTGTGCCAGAAAGCCTCATGATGATTTCTTAATAGCTTCATGAATCCATTCATGCATCACAGACAAACGGACGCTGCTGACAGGCTGCTGCTAGGAGCGAATGCGACACCTCTAAGCTCCACGCAGCGCAAACAAAAGTCATCTGCCTCACATTGTTTGTTTTGTGAGAGGTTTCATTTAAGCAGCAATTAGGAGGGTTATTTTTACTACTGTGCCTTTTATAACTTTGTTTTAGTGGGAAAAAAATGTACAAAATCATAGAGCTGTTTTAAGGAATTACAAATACTACTTTTAAAAGTGCTAAATGATCTTAAACGTTTGTTTTGTTTTAGATCTTCATCGGGTTAGAAGCAGGAAAAGACATAAAAACGTTTTAAAAACAGTGGAGCATTTAACATTAACCTTGTTACACCAAATGTTTTAAAACACTCCCGAGACCTCGACCTGTCCGACAGGAACATCCATTTCTCCTCTGCCTTCTAGTGCAGGACCTTAGTTCTACATTATGTCATTATATAATTACCCAAGTAGAATATAAATAAAACAACAACATTCACTAAGCTCGTATTAAATAGAGACGTCTTATTTAGTTCATTTGGAAAATGTTGTGCTATGTATCAGCTATAGATAACATTTGTTAAAGGTCTCAATCCTTCTTTTATTATGTATAAATAAAATTGTTGTAGTCTCTAGAATAAAAAAGGCCTTTAGAGTCGTTTGCTAAAGATGTTGGTGCTCCTGCTTTAGGGGTAGAAGTCGGAGGAGTGAGCGCTAAAGCAATAGGATTATGACTCCTCAATATTCATGATGTGCAAATGCCTTGCTTCTGATTGGCTAAATCATTTTTTCCCCACTGTTTCATATATCAAGCTTTAAAGTTTGAGTTTGTAGTTTTAGTAAACTACTTCTGCTTCTCCTCCTTAATATTGATATTCCTAAGATTCCATAAAAGTTTAGGATTTTAATTTTAGCTTAATTGACAAAATGAGGCTTAAAGTACCTTTCTGGAGTTTCCCCCTTTCAGAAATCATGTATGATTGTCATAAATCCATAAAAGTGGTTATCTTATCATGTGCTGTGATATAATGTAAGAAATACAGTACGTCTTTTTTTTTTGCTAACCACGCCCCCTGCACTGCAGAGCTCATAATAGGTCATAATAGAGCTGTAATAGGAAACTGAGCGCCAACCAGAGCTGACCAATAGCGTTAGACTCATCGACATATACATATATATATATATATATAGAGAGAGAGAGAGAGAGAGAGAGAGAGAGAGAGAGAGAGAGAGAGAGAGAGAGAGAGAGAGAGAGAGAGAGAGAGAGAGAGAGAGAGAGAGAGAGAAACTACTGTTAGACTACTGCCAACGTGCTTCAAATTTAAGGAACACCTCAACTGATGCAGAGTTGATGAACTTTTCACAGACAAGTAAGTGTTTAAAAAATAAATACATGAGAACACAACATGACATGAGAATAATACTTATAAAACAATGTGTTTTAGCTCCGTTTGTCGGCTACAGAAGGACATTAATAAACAAGAAACGTGAAGTCACCATCTTAAAAAACAGGAGAAATTATTTGTGTGATACGCTTGTCAGCCACTGGCCCCCGCGATGGACTAGCTCTCTGTCCAGGGTGTATCCCTCCTGCCCATTGACGACTGGAGATGGGCACCAGCACCCCCTCACCCCCCACCCCCCAACATGGACAAGCGGGTTCAGAAAATGGATGGATGGATGGATGGCTTGTCAGCCACCAGATGGTGACATCGGATAGGAGAAATACTCTGGAAAGAGACTAAATGTTCTTTTCTACTTGGTTAAACAGCTCAAGTGTGTAGTTCCAGCTTTTTGCCACAAGATGGCGACCATTGCCTACTTCATTCTCGTTAAGGCAATTAACGCTTAGTTTGTAAGGCTAATGTAGCTCCATCTTCTGCTTTTCCTCATCAGTTTGCTCCTTCTTCTTCTTAATGTTAATAGTTTCAAGATACCATAAACAACATTTAGGATTTTTATTTCTATTTCGTTGAAAAAAGTGGGCTAAAATATTCTCTTCTAAATACTTAAATAGATTAAATATGTAGTTCCAGCATTTCGCCAGCAGAGGGCGACCATTACATTCCGTCTTTATAACGCTAATGTAGCTCCATCTTCTGCTTCTCCTGTTCCTCTTGCTTATCCTCGTTAATATTAATAATCCCGAGAGGTCATAAGCAAAGCTTAAGATTTTTTTGTTTTAGCTTCATTGAGAAAATTTTCCAAAAATGTCTCTTTTAATTGGTTAAACAGACCAATTATGTAGTTTCAACATTTCGCCAGCAGAGGGCGACCATAGCCTTCCTTGTTCATGTTAAGGAAATTAAGGCTGAGTTTGTGATGCGACTGTAGCTCCATCTTCTGCTCCTCCTCATGCTCCTCCTGCTTCTACTCCTTTTAATATGCCCAACATATTATAGACAAAGTTTGGGATTTTTATTTCAACTTCATTGACAAAATCAGGCTGATCAAATACGTAGTTCTGCATGTTTGTCAGCAGAGGGCAACCATTGACCTCCTCGTTCTTAAGGCTCCATCTTCTGCTTCTCGTCTTGGTTCTCCCTCCCAAGAGGATATAAGCAAAGTTTAGTATTTTATTTCAGCTTCACTGACAACAGAATGCCAAAACATTCTCTTCTGTTAAACACAGACATCATGGGAGCAGCACCTCTGAGGAAACGTGGGATGAGTGGGGAGGGAAGGAGACAGAAGGAGGGGGGGTTGCCAGAGGTCAAACACAATCTTCTAAAACAATAAACTGTTCAGTAAATCGTAAAAAATAACACAGGGGAGGTTTCTGAAAGTTTATTTGCCATCTTTGGACTTTGGGACTTCTTGCTGTATTCTACTCAAGTGTGATATTTATGCAAGAAGTTCTGACAGTCGTGTTGAAGCTGCAGATGACACGGTTGTTGGTTTGATCTCCAATAACAATGATTCAATAGGGGGAAGGTAGGTGTAATAACTCAAGTCCTAAGGCAGAAAAATGTGGTGGACTTCAGCTTACATCCCTCTCACCAGTGGGACAAGAGCCATGCAGCTGTTAAATCAGCTAAATACCTAGGCCTGCACATGACCTTTGACCTCCACATGGTCTACTTTCACAACCAAAACAGTATATAGTCTGGCTATGACCCATAGTGGTTTTAGGGCAGAATCTATGGTTGTCTTTCAAACTGTCTCCACGTGCAGGTGGACAGCGGAAGGACTGATCAGAGCAACAAACAACGTGAAACGGAAACCAGCCAACAGGGCAATCCGCCATACGCCGTCCTTTTTCCATCCGCTCACGTCTTAAAGAAAGGCTCAAGTCTAAATCGTCCAAAGTTGAGGCCTAAGCCGTCGTTCCTGAGCCGCCACCATCTTTATAAGTTTGCTCTATCAAAGCAGAGTTGTTGTTTTGCAAGTGCAAAACTAAACTAATTCTAATTGGTCCCTAACAAACTGTAACTAGATCAGGCCGTGTCTTGTTGCTTTTTCATTTAGTATCTCTTCTACTTGAAACCCATTTTTTATGGACTCTGTTTTTGGAACAATGTGAATTTGCCCGAGGGAGGGGAAATAAAGGTTTCATTCATTCATTCTCTGACAGCTCTTAAGCTCAGAGTAGACTGCTGTCTTGTGATCTCTGAAATATGACTGGAGGTTTTTCAGGGCAAGCATTCAGCCACTTGAACCTCCGAAGGATGTTCTGCTCAACATTTTCTTTAACAGAACAACTCAGTCAGCCAGGCCTTCATGTCTTAACTAATCTGACTCAATGCACCAAGCTCTGATTATTCACCAGTGCAACATTAAAACAATGGCCTCCCAGGGGCGTGTCCAGGGAGTGGCCTGGGGTAGCACATGCCACCCTTAGAATCTGATTGGCCACCCCAGGTGCCACCACACTAATTTACCTTTAAATAGGCTTTTCATTGTCCACAAAAAGCTTGGGGGTAAAGCAAAAAAAAGCATAACCATTGGTGCCACCCATGCACAAAGTTGTGCCTCACCTGGGCCACCCCATTTTAAAAAATCTGGACACGCCACTGTGGCCTCCTCAACTGTACTACTTCTGACAAATGCAGCATTGCGGTGTGAGCACACGTCGCTCAGGTGAGCAGTGTTGGAGCTGTCCAGTATCTGAATCAGAAGGTTTGATTCCCATACGTGTGCGCAAAATCACAACATTAGGAAACTGCTGCGGTACTTGGTGCAAATAAGAAAGATAAAAATAAGAGAAGAACAAATATAGGAAGTAAGAATACAGTCATGATAAAATAACAATATAAAGTGGGAATACTTAGAGAAATGCTGCTGTATACAAGAGCGTAGGTACTGATCAGAGCGGATCAGTTCAGGTACAAACACAACACAGGGTCATGTGACTGATGACATGCCACTAGAGTGGGCAGCCCTAGAATTGGCATCCATGACAGCAGAGGGGAGGAAACTGTTCTTGTGGCGAGAGGGTCTGGTACGAATGGATGTGAACCTCCTGCTAGATGGAAGCGAGTCAAAAAGACTGTCCAGGGTGGCACGGGTCATCTGACCTGCACGCCTTGTTGTCCTGGAGGTGTACAGGTCCTGTATGGAGGGGAGTTTGTAGCCAATGACCTTCTCAGCAAAGCGCACGACACGCTGCAGCCTCTCGTCCCTGGTGGTAGCTCCGTCATACCACACGGTGATCGAGGAGGTGAAGACGGACTCGATGACTGCGGTGTACAACCGCCTCATCGACTACGCTCTTCAGCTGCCTCAGGAAGAACTTCCTCTGCTGGGCTTTTTTTTTTCATGACGGAGGTGATGGCGGGCTCCCACTTTGAGGTCCTGGCCTCTGGTGATGCCCAGGAAGCAACATGAGTCCACCATCGTGATGGTGATGGTTCCTCATTTATCAGACTGTGGCTGTTTAATCAGAAATCAGACGTGACTAAATCACAGATAAAAGCAAGTTTATTGGGAACCACTTCTACACGTATTATCCACACATTCATTCTCTCGCTGACAAAAAGCTATTTCCACGTTTCACGGTAAAAAGTGGACAGAAGCTACAGCTGGAACAACAAACTACAGAGGCCGGTTCAAGTTGAAACTGAATTAGTGATTCAAGACGAGATTCAGACATGTTAAACGGTGTCTGTAACACTGTGCAAAACAATGGCATCAAAGTCAAAGACTAAAGTGCATTTTCTTCTTAATGCATTGGTGTGTTTTCTCTAAAACAGGAATGTCAGAATAACTCTGCCATCTCCGCCTAATGGAACAAAATAAAAACAGCGAATTTTCTATGAGCATCTTTTCTTCAAACACGGTAAACAAGTAAACATTCCTTACAAAAAGTATTAAGAATCATTTTACATGACAAGAAAGCTTTACATAATACAGCCTGGGCTTTAAATTTGACCCAAAATAAAAGATTAAAATACATCAACAGATGCCAGTTAAAGTTGTTCATGATGCTCGTTACTTAATGACTCCACAAAACCAGAAACCCATCTAAAAGCTGGGAACAGTGTGTGTGTGTGTGTGTGTGTGTGTGTGTGTGTGTGTGTGTGTGTGTGTGTGTGTGTGTGTGTGTGTGTGTGTGTGTGTGTGTGTGTGTGTGTGTGTGTGTGTGTGTGTGTGTGTGTGTGTGTGTGTGTGTGTGTGTGTGTGTGTGTGTGTGTGTGTGTGTGTGTGTGTGTGTGTGTGTTTCATCCCAACAGCGTGAGGAGGGGAGCCGTTTTTGGTCGGGAAGGATAACAGGACCCGTCTGATCACAAACACGTGACCTAAAGAATTCGTAGAACGTGATTCCAGACGGCTTTTTTGGTTTTAATTCGTTGAAACTGGACTTGTTGTAGCATGCCTCCACACAACAATACAAACTCAAAAATAGCTAAAATAGAGAAAGGAGAAATATTTTTATTGCAAATGGGACAAATTATACTTCATGAGACTCTTCTGGACTAAAAAGCAGAAGAATTTCAGAGGAACGGCCAACATCTGCTTTGTGTTTGTGACTTCCCTGGATGATGAGAGCTGCAACAAAACCATCTGCAAATTAAAAGAACGTTTTGTGAATTTATTTAGATGCAAGCAAGCACAACAGTAAACGCAGCCCATCTGCTGTTTTCAGATGTCAGGTAGAACAGTTCTGTTTTGGTTCAGACTTTGAGCTACAAATGACGATGTTACAACCCTGTTTTAGTAGTGAATTCCTTTGACAACCAAAGCATCTAAAAATAAAACCCTGTGGCTTCCTAGTGCAGTTCTAGTCTCTTTAGGTATTCACAGGTAACAGGGAGTGAAGTGGGAGAACGGGTTACAAGACGGGGAAAAGGCTTGTCAAGCAAGTGCAACTCCACGTGGTGAAGTCAGGTGACTTCTTAGTTTAACCACATCTGGGGTTTTCAATCCGTCTTTGTTGCGAAGCTTAACGACTAGCTCATGCCGACGTCCCAAAATCCCTCAAAGTTCATCAGAGTCGACAAACTCCTACTCACTAAAAGTCACTGAGGATGCTGATGTCGGCAAACTCCTGGCGGTATCTGTGCGAGTACAAGGCCAGAAGGAAAGCCCACTTGAGGGTCAGGAAGCTCCACACGCAAGACAGGTAGAGGCTCTGAGGGTCGGTGAGAGCTGTGGACCAGGAAAGACCCAGGATCAGTTAGCAACTGTTCACATTATAAAGACCCAACTGTAAGAGAAGAAAAAGCTTACACTGGTGTTGTGTGATGGCCAGACACAGGAAGGTTATGAAGGCAATCACAGCCAAAACTGAGAAGAAGACTCCAATGCCGATGAAGAACTTGAGGCCCTTGAGCCAGGTGCGCCAGTAGTCCTGTAGGTACATGACGTGTGTGACCAGGGACCAGAACGCCAAAACTCCTACGAGATGAGAAAGATTATTTTCCTTCACATTAAAACATGAATTTTGCCGTCATTGATCAGGAACTCCTGAGCTGTTTTGGGATTAGCTAAAACCAGTTAGGTACACAAACCACCTGACCTTAGTGACTACTGGAACCAGTAGGTGCTCAATAGTGTTTGTTTCCTTTACATCATAATTTAATCAACAATTACAGAGACTGGAGCAAATAGTCAGGGTGTATGTATTGACCAAGATTACAGTTTACACTAATGTTATGATTAAATACTGTTTTTAGGGATTAAAAATCTGAAAAATGTCCCTAAAGGTATTACTGACCAGGAAGACTGCTACTCATACTCACTGAATGACGAAATAAAATGGCATTACTGAGCTTTATATGAATTTTAATATCACGAAAAATGGTTGAGCTACATAATCTGGATTATAATGAGATAAACGACGTAACAGCACGTATAGTTGTTTGTCCAGGTGGTGCGTTCACGTACCTGACAGGCCTCCCATGGCCGCCGTGGCCGGCTGTTGATACGCGATGTTCCAAACCAATAACGCCGACAGTCCCACCAGCGTGCCGAAGGTAGCATAGCCTATGCTAACATACACCTTGTTTTTACCCATTGTTCAACAGGACCAGTGCTAGCAAAAGCTTTGCGCCCTCGTAAGAAATAAAAATGTGGTTTTGTTTAAAAAGACAGACGTAATAACCTACATTGGCAGCTTACCGCCACATTATGTAATATCCTCACAAACAGGAAAACAAAAGGATCTAATTTTCGTCGGCTAACATCAAACGACGCCACACACTGTACAACAATCCGCTAAATCCAGTCCATTTGTGCGCCTTCCGACCTCAAAACACTATTTTTACTTTGTAGCAAACAAGCAGCAGCTAAAAAGCCATTTAGCTGTTTAGATAGCAAAACGCCGTAAAGATAGCACACTCTGACTAAAATAATAAAACCTTTAACTGGATCGTCGTTCTGGCCCCTGACGAAATATCTCCTCAGAAATACAAAAATATTTCAGCCGCTTTAACACTTTTATTAGTTAATTATTGTAAAATAACAATATTTAAAACAGTTAGCATTTTAATGTTTAATTTATCTAAATATGTTCTTAGTTACCCATCATTTTTCTTTTGAAGATCTTTGTTGAGAGGAAACCCTCGAGCCGTTGCTACAGCGTCCCTAGTGGGAAAAAGAGAGATTGCATTTTGCAGAACTGAGAAGAAAACAAAATAAACAAATACTTGAGCTACATCAAATTTATATTACAATAAAACAATAACACATTCAATAATATATTTACATCTTTTAATTTTATTGAAAGGTTAAAATAAAAATTTTAAATTTCCATGCATTTTTTTCAAAGAGTAAAGTGGATTTAAGGATACAGGAAATCTTTGTTTTTTTTATTTATTTATTTATTTATTTTATTTTGTTTGTTTTTTTGCTTTTCCATCTCATTCTCTGATACCAAATAAACATTTTAGGACTTCACTGAAAATAGTTTTTTTATGCATGGCTGTAAGGTTTGATGTTCTCATTGTGAAACTTGTGAATCATTCATTCATTGTTCTCAATTGTCTGCCTTCCAGTAACTTACGATTTTTAAATCAAACTTTGTTGGGACATGAATGTGTCTTTACTGACTTGGATAACAATGATAAAATTAACTAAATATATCAGGACTGGCACACACTTCCTGTCAGTAAGATGCTTAAAGGACTGAAATCTGTGCTCCAGAACTCAACCACACTTTCCTGTGGTTGCTTGCAGATTTGCAGCAGCCTGGCCATGCTGTAAACCAAAACTGATGTCACTACTCATTTTCTGGTGCCACTTTCACACGCTCACATTCACTGATCAGGGTGCTTCAAATTCAGCCCAGGCCCTCAGGCGCTGGCTTCATGACCAATCAGAAAGATACAGGAAGCTGCGTCCACTAACACCCCCATCAAGTCCCAGAGACGACCCAGACTGGGAAATTATCTCCTGGCCAAAACTGGAAAAGGAAAGCAGAAAACCCAACAAGTGTTGAAGCCACGAGTCTAGAAGGAGAAGTTGCTGGTAAGTTACTGATCATAGATCAGGATTTTCTCTATAATTCTTTTTTTTCAGGATCTGGTATAGATTTTACACATTTGTACAAATATTATAGTTTACTTAAAATAAACAGATGGGGCTATTTTGCACACAGGATTATATCAAAGTTGTTCAACAGCTCAAATATTATTTCTAAATGTATTTTAGCTTTGTGATGCTGTTTTAACTGGACAAATGTGGAGTGCTCACACACACAAATGTGCAGCAATGAGTAAAAATATAAGAGAGAAGCTTGAGACGAAGAGTCTGGGTGTGTTTTATAAGTTTTGCTTATGTCAGCTCCACGTTCAGATGCCACTGAACCGGGAGGTCAAACGGATCAAGTCTGTGCTTCCTTGTCACTGCTAAGTGGTCAGGAGAGAGGAAGGAAAAGGTGTGTGTGTGTGTGTGTGTGTGTGTGTGTCTGTGTGTGTGTGTGTGTGTGTGTGTGTGTGTGTGTGTGTGTGTGTGTGTGTGTGCGTGTGTGTGTGTGTGTGTGTGTGTGTGTGTGTGTGTGTGTGTGTGTGTGTGTGTGTGTGTGTGTGTGTGTGTGTGTGTGTGTGTGTGTGTGTGTGTGCCACCAGACAAGCACAACAAAGCCAGTTGGCAGAGAACATTCCATGGGCGTAGATGTGTTGCAGGAAATCCCACTCCCATTCCCGAAGGATCCAAATAGAAACACAGACTCACCAAAATAAATACAGAGAAAAGGAAGAAGACATAAAAGTAGACGTGAACACAGACAGCAGCTAAATTAGCTTTTATTTGTTTTATGTTTTATATTTTCTTTAGTGAAATATGTTTTTTATTCCTTAATACAAATTAAGTTTTAATGAATCAATTCCAATATTAATTTTATTCTTTTTCACAGCCTACTGACATGTTGATTATTATAAACAAATACATGAAGTACTGTTTTGGCACCTTTGGTGGAAATCTGCTGATTTAATCCGCTTTGTGAGTGTTGTAGTACACACAGATCTCCAGTAGAGGGTGCAATTTATTTTTGGAAACGTATGTGGACTAAAGTTCTCTGCAAACCTGTTCCAGAGGTTTCACATAAATTTACCAGTTAGTGCTCAAGTGTTAAAAATCCTAAATTCAGTCTCCTGAGAGAGTTGTTTTTTGATAGATTTCAGTTTTTAAATCATAACAAAGTTCTCTGAGATCTGCTGCAAAGATGAACCGACCCATAGAGCCAAAAACCATTTTCCATGATGGAATTCTTTCAGTTTCCATCAATGAATGCTGAGATTATATCAAAAGTTCCTCCTTTAAGCTAGTTTCATGGTCCATTTTAATCTGTGACCAACCCATCATGATTCATTTTTCTAAGGCTTCTCCCACTTTGCACAAAATTAAATCCAGATTTTTAGTTTTTTCATGGAATAATTGCATCACACTTCCATAGCAGAAACACACAAAAAGTAGTATGTTTATATTCAATTTGATTTTATAACATTTTCCTTAAATATGAACATTTCATTGACACAAATTTACATGATCTTTTTGCAAAAGTTAGATTTTTTTAATTTAGTCCTCACCCTCATCTGCAGATGTTTATCAAAAATTACAAGAGAGAACCTGGCTCTTTGATGGTAAAGGCTGCAGACCCCTCTAGACAGTCAGATACCATCAAACCGTAGTATCCTTATCAGCTCAGCTATTGTTCAGGAGGCCAGAAGAAGCAAAACTGGATTCTTTAGAAAACATTCTTCATGTGGCATTTAGGTGAGAGGAGCACTTTTTACAGGTGGTTTAATTTTATTTAAACTCTGGTTTTCTGCTGGAGGATGCAACCACGACTCCAAGTGTGTGTGTGTGTGTGTGTGTGTGTGTGTGTGTGTGCGTGCGTGC